CACAATGTTCCTACCCCTTCTTCTCCCCAACAAGGGCAGGTTGGCAAGCCATCCTTAGGTGATTGTTAGGCTCCACCTCCAGCTCTTATTTGTTCCATTATGACCTTTTTTTGTGTCCTCATCTTAAAAAAAAAAATTATGAAGACATAAATTTTTCTTTCACGTTTTTTAGGGATGCACTAAATAGCTGATTTCATTCCTAAGAAAAGGGGTTTGATTTTGAAGGAACTTACATTGAGAAATAAAGCTCCCCACCGCCCCAATTTTTGTCTTTTAATTCCATTTTCACAAACGTTTTAAAGTCCGTTTGTAGTTAGAACCAGCAAGCTCTTTCTTGTTGCAGGACTTTGATGAGCCTGAGCAATCAAGGGAACTGGCTTTGGGTACAAGGAAGGGTGCTCTACTCCCGTGAGCAGAGACAGTCTCGGGACCACAAGGGGTAGTTAGTTCGCTGTCCTTCGGGGTATGCATCGGCATCATGGCAGTGAGCTTTGGTTTCTAGAGGCCTTTAATTGAAGAGTAAGCATAGTGTGCACTGCCTTACAGCACGCAAGGAAGGCATGAGCGTAATTGTGGTTACTTAATTATGCATCAGGCTAGGTAAGGCAGAAGGTCGGCAAGAAATGAGGAAGACCCTCAACAAGATGGACTGGGAGGGACTGGGCAATGATGGGCTGAAATACAGCAATCATTGGGAGGATGGCACAGGACCCAGCAGGGTTTAGCACTGTTTCATATAGGCTTGTTACAAGTTGGGACGGACTTGATTGTACCTAACAACAACATTGAACTGTAGTGATCACTTCCACCACATCTTGTATGCAGTACAGAATTTTAGCCATCCTCCTGTTTTCTGCTCCACACAAGGGGAGGATCACCCAGTAAGCAAGATGAAATTGCTCATTACAGATAATGGGACAGGAGGAAAGTAAAAGGAAATAGAGGAAAGAACTAGGAGACAAAAGATATTTACAGAGGTATAAGCATGTATATATGTAAAGATATTAGTATTTAGTGGTCTATGTGCATATATTTATATGTTAAGTATTAAGACAGCAGATGGGCATTGGGCCTCTACCTAACTCCTTCCTCAATGGAAGAATACTCTGTTCTAATAACCTGGCATTCTGGATGCTCACCTTCCCGACACGATCACTGAAGACAAAATGGGTGCATAAGCAAATGTGGTGAAGAAAGCTGATGGTGCCTGGCTATCAAAAGATATAGCATCTGGGGTCTTAAAGGCTTGAAGATAAACAAGTGGTCATCTAGCTCAGAAGCAACAAAGCCCACATGGAAGAAGCACACGAGCCTATGTGATCATGAGGTGTTGCTGGGATCAGGTATCAAAGACCCAGAACAAAAAAATCATATCAATATGAATGAGGGGGAGTGTGGAGTGGAGACCCAAAGCTCATCTGTAGACAATTGGACATCCTCTTACAGAAGGGTCATAAGGAAAAGATGAGCCATTCAGGGTGCAGTATAGCACCGAGGAAACATACAGCTTTCCTCTAGTTCTTTAATGCTTCCTACCAACCCCCCCCTAAGTATCATGACCCCAATTCTACCTTACAAATCCGGCTAGACCAGAGCATACACATAGGTACAGATAATAGCCCTTGACACAAGATTCCAGGACAGATAAGCCCGTCAGGACCAATAATGAGATTAGTGATACCAGGAGGGTAAAGGAAAGTTGGGTGGGGAGAAAGGGGGAACTGATCACAATGATCTACAGACAACAGAAAAGAGAGTGATGGGAGATATTGGTTAGTGTAAGACACGAAAAAAAAATTATAAATTACCAAGGGTTCATGAGGGAGGGAGGGGAAAAAATGAGGAACTGATAGCAAGGGCTCAAGTAGAAAGGAATGTTTTGAAAATGATGATGACAACAAATATACAAATGTGCTTGACACAATGGATGGATGGATGGATGGATGGATGGATGGATGGATGGATGGATGGATGGATGGTGATAAGAACTATACAAGCCCCCAATAAAATGATTTTTAAATAACATTAAAAAAAGAAGATATAGCATCTGGGGTCTTAAAGGCTTGCAGATAAACAAGCAGACATCTAGCTGAAAAGCAACAAAGCCCACATGGAAGAAGCACACCAGCCTGTGTGATCACAAGGTGTGGATGGGATCAGGCATCAGGCATCAGAAGACCCCCCAAAAACCAAGCACAACCATTTCAATGTGAATGAGGGGGCTCAGAATGGAGACCCAAGGCTTATTTTGGACATCCCCTCACAGAAGGGTTACAAGGAAGGGATGAGTCAGCCAGGGTGCAGTATAGCACCAACGAAACACACATTCCTCTAGTTCTTTCATGCTTCTTCCCCGTCCCAGTCCCCCCACATCATGACCCCAGTTCTAGCTTGTAAATCTGGCTAGACCAGAGCATGTACACTGGTATAGATAAGAGCTCTTGACACAAGGAATCCAGGACAGATAACCCCTCAGGACCAATAATAAGAGTACCCATGAGGGTAGGGGGAAGGTGTGGAGGAGAAGGAGGAGAAAAGAGGAACAGATCGCAGTGATCGACATACAACCCCCAAGGGACGAACAACAGAAACGCGGGTGAAGGGAGACAGCAGATGGTGTAAAATATGAAAATTAAAAATAATTTATAAATTATCAAGGGTTCATGAGGGTGGGAGGGGGCCGGAGGGAGGGGAAAAATGCTGATGCCAAGGGCTCTAGTAGAAAGAAAATGTTTTCGAAATGATATGGCAACATATGTACAAATGTGCTTGATAGAATTAATGTATAGATTGTTATCATTGTTGCAAGAACCCCCAATAAAATGATCTGTTAAAATATTTAAAAAAAACAAAAAATAGACTTGGAAAAGTAAATAGAAATCATTTAGAAAAGCAGGTATTAGCGGGAACGAAGGAGTGATGGAGTGTGTGTGTGTGTGTGTGTGTGTGTGTGTGTGTGTGTGTTCATAAAATAACCTCAGGAAGGATAGGCCCTAGATGGAGCATGTTTATGAGCTGCGCCCGAGCTGGTGAAACTCCTGTATGGTGCTGGGCAAGTTACTTAACCTCTCTGTGCTGAAAAGTTCCTTCCTCTGTACAAGTGCTGGTGACTATAATGTTCTTTCTCAAAATCCAAGCCCCCTGCCCTCAAGTCAGTTCTGACTCATAGGGACCCTATTTGACAGCGTAGAACTGCCCCTGTGGGCTTCCTGTAACTCTATCAGAGGAGGAAGTCTCGTCTTTCTCCCTCAGAGGGGCTGGTGGGTTTGAACTGCTGATGTTGCATTTAGCAGCCCAACAGAGAACTCACCTTGCCACCAAGGCTCCATAGTAATAATATTGAGAGAGCCAGAAAGAACTCTTGGAAATTACAAATGTGGTGGAATTGTTTTTTAATCCAATAAAACAAATAAAGACCCCAACCCACTGCCATTGAGTTAATTCTAACTCATTTTCTCTCTCTTTTTCTCTCACCACCATCGAGTCCATGCTGACTCATAGAGACACTATAAGACAGGGTAGCACTACCCCTGTGGGTTTCCAAGACTGTAACTCTTAATGACAGTGATTCTCAACTTTCCTAATGCCATGATCCTTTCATACAGTTCCTCATGTGGTGGTGACCCCCAACCATAAAATTATTTCCATTGCTACTTCATCACTATCATTTTGCTGCTGTTATGAATCGGGCAACTCCTGTGAAAGGGTCATTCGACCCCCCCCAAAGGGGTCACAACCCGCAGGTTGAGAACCACTGCTTTCTGGGAATTGAGAGCCTCGCCCTTCTCCCATTCTAACTCATAGGGACTTTTTGTAGTGTTTCTAAGACTGTAAGTCATTCAGGGCCCAAGTGGCATCACCTCTGTCATGTGGAACAGCTGGTAGGGTCAACGCACTGTCCTTGCAGAAAGCTGCCCGTTTCCTTATGCACTACCCCACCAGGCTGCCTTTTTAATCCCACAGTAAGATGAACATGAAAAATCGAAGAAATTGCTAAGAAAGATCAAAGACAGAGACATGGGAAATAGAAACAATAAGAAAAAAATGACCACTTTGAGAAGTTGAAAAAATTGCAGAGACCAAGGCAAAAGGGGGTGAGGTGCGGGGGGACGGGGACAAAAGCCATTCGAGTAATGATCCCAACCTTCCCAAGCACCAAAGGCCCTGGAGGACCCCCACGCTCGGATGTGAAGGGCTGATGTTAGGCCTCTAAGATTCTTGGAGATGGCCTGGTCTAGGGTGTGCCACCATGGCATTTCCAAACACTGTGGATAGAGGGAGATCCCAAACATGTCCGGGCTGGAGAGGAGATCCAAATTTGATGGTGTGCATTTCTCTGGAAAGGCCACCCTGTTTCCAGGGCCTGAAGACTGTCGGATGAGTCAGCATCCACTTGACAGCCATGGGTTTGGGTTTTTCGGTTGGGTCGCTTCAAAGAGTAGCTCATTGAGGGTGAGGTCGAGTGAAGAAGGCACACGGACTGATGGCTCATGGACCCAAACAGCTCGGCTCTGTCTTTGGGGGCGGAGGGGTGGGGTATCTGTTTATCCCTAAGCGAAGGTGAAAGACAGCAGGGCTGTAAGACCCAGTGAAAGAGTTGGCTTGCCCCTGGTCTCTACCTCCCCCCACCCCCTGGTCCTGCTCCTTCTCTTCCTTTGTTTTTTCTCCCCCCACCCCCCCACACACACTTTATCTTCTGAGTCTTCACACTTCTGCTGTGTCTCTCCGGCTCCTTCCCCCTTTCTCTTTCCTTCCACAAAAGTCTTGTGTTTGTCTAATAATTGGCAGGGGAGCTCTCTCGCTCTCTCTCTTTTGCTTTTCCTTTTTAAGTGATGAATAGTTGGCATGAGATCAAAGCCCAGCCCTGTGGTTTTCTGGCTGCCCCAGAAGGGCGGTGCAGCTGGCAGGCGGAGGAGATAGCGTGCGCACAGGTCACCGTGTGTGCTCATGTCCTTGTGTCTTGCAGGCCAGCAGCAAGCTGAAGCAGATTGAGAAGGAATATACCCAGAAGCTGGCCAAATCTTCACAGGTAAGCCACCGTCAAACAACGAGAAAGGACCCAAACACACCCACGGCCTTTGCATTTCCCACCAAATCCGTCTCACTTTTCCAGGGATGCGATGGGATCTTGGATGGCTACATAAATAAGGAAAATAGGCTGTTGATATCTTTGGCTTGCTTTAAAAAAGAAAAAAATTAGGTCGGTTGAACCATTTGAGCCAACACACTACCCAATCTTTCTCTCTCTCCACACACACACAGATATACACTCGGTCTTGAAAAACCAGCCCGTGCACTTGAACAAGCCCAGGCCTAGACCTTCTTTCATAAGGACAGGAGAGATACACTCACATCTGTGATGTAAGCTCTTCGATACCATCTGTGCTGTTTCGTGTGTGCAAGATTCCACTTTGCTGCACCCCAAGGCCTCTGATCAGCCAAATTCAAAATGACAAATCATTCTGGGTTAAACCAGCAGCCCAATTGTCAACTCCTTTGGGGAGGAAAGAGGAGCTGAACGTCCGTCCCTCCCTGCCTGTTTTGCTGTTGGTTGTTCCTGTAGTAGTTTTAGTATAAGGCAGGCTAGTAACTGAATGCATGTCTCCACTTGAAATGAGATGCTTCCAGTACCTGGTTTGTACAAGTTGTTGGGGTGATACCCAGCTGTGTCATGTAGAGGATCCCTTTTAGATCCCTTTTAGTTCCATGTTGGGCTGCTGTCCTCCAGGTGAGCAGTTCAAAACCACGAGTCGGCCCTTGGGTCGAAGAGGTCCTGTAAAGAATTCCAGTCTCAGAAACCCACGAGGACATTTCTACTCTGTCCTGTAGGGTCACTATGAGTCAGAATCCACTCAATGGCAGTGAGTTTGTTTTTTGTTTTGTTAGGTCGGAGGCTTCCCCCTTGGTTGTAATTCTAGAATAAATAAATATTACTCATCTTCCTTTTTCAAAGAACGAAATTAAGCCATTTAATTTTCTGGGCATCACACCTAATGCTTTAGAAAATGAGCTTTTCTTAATATTTCTAAATGTGTGCTGGTTTGTCTGGTTGTCAGTTGGGACTATTTTACGAGTTACCTCATAAAACAAGTAACAGTACCACAGCAACAAAACAGAAATTGTATTCTGATTTATGTGGCACTTGCCATATTGTCTCATTCAGTCTTCATGCACCAGAAGTAAGTCAGGGGTTGATAATTGTCATTGGCCATAGCCTTCCCATTGAAGAAATAGACTCAGAGAGTTGAGGTCATACAGATTAAGTTGGTAAGTGACTAAGCCAGGACCCCACCTAGATCTGACTTCAAAGTGGAAGCTCTTTGGGCCAACACCAGCCTGGTCCAGTCTCTTACATTACTGCTATGCAAAAGGTTGACAGCCACTGAATTTCTGAGATCCCACACCGATGTCCAAGTGCGCATCTGTTCTAGAAGACGAATACAAGTCGCAGGTGCTTATTGAGAGGATGGTGCAGATGTCGTCCGGATGACCATAATTCCATCCCTTCCTTGAGAAAGGATGGGGGTGGGGGTGGGGGGTTTGGATCCACTGAGAAGAGATGTTCTCAGACTAGAAAGAACTTCGCAAGTGGACTTGCTGACTTGCCTCTCACACCCTGTGTGTTTTGCTCTTTGTTAAGTGGCGGAGGCCAACTGAGAGTGAGATAGAAGATAGAGAATAAAAATGCATAATTAAGGAGTGTGTAAATAAATGGGAGTATTTAAGGTGATCTAAAGGAACGTATGAAGAAAGTGGCTAGTCGATATTAAGGCAAATTAAATGTTGGTCAGGGAGGAAGAAAGCTTCAACTGTGGAGGAGCAGCCCGTGCATTTAAAGCCCAGCCCTCCCACTTCCGTGTCCCTGAGTGCGTTACCTGGGCCCTCTGGAATTCCATTTGCTCATGTAGAAAGTGGCGGAGGAGTGCTGACCTCAGAAGGGTGTTGTACAGTCTAAATAAAACAATGCGGAAAAGTGCTTAGTATAGTATAGTACCTAGCACCTCATAAAGCATTTAATAACTGTTAACTGTGACAATTATGAAAACAAACCTCACTGCCATCAAGTCGATTCCAGCTCCTAGCGACCCTGCAGGACAGAGTGCAACTGCCCCTGTGAGCTGGAGGAGACAGCCTCATCGTTCTCCCACAGAGCGGCGCGTGGCTTTGCCTGCTGGCCTTGCAGTTCGCACCACAGTCCATAATCCATTCCACCCCCAGGGCTCCTCAGCTTTTATTATAGGATAATAGTATAAGAGATAGGAAAGGAAGAATGGGGGAAAGCTTGGAAGGAAGGGGAGAACAAAGATTCATTCAAACCCTCTATGTTTTCCCATAGGTATTTCATTCAGTCTTCAGTAACCACGTGGGTCCAATTCCCATTGCCACCAAGTCAATGCCAATTCATAGTGGCCCAACGGGACACCATAGAATGACCCCATAGGCTTACCAAGGTTGTAATCTTTCTGGAAGCAGACTGCCACATCTTCCTTCCTCTGAGCAGGTGATGGGTTTGAACCACCAACCTTTGGGTTGGCAGCTGAGCACTTACCTTGTTATATGGATAGGCATTATACCTCCCGTGCTATAGGCAAGGACACTGAGACTCATCAGTAGGGTGTGTGTTCCCTCCAAAGCAAGACTTGAGCCCATGCAATCAGACTCCAAGGACCCCCACAGACACACCTGTTTCTTTCTTGGAGTGGGTGTGGGGGTTCATTATAAATAGCTGCAAAATCGTTCTTCCATTTTAACCATTCATCCCCTTCTTTATGTAACTCACTGATTGGCTTCTAGACTTTGGGCATTCAAGAACTGACCGATTCTTGACAGCTTGCTCTTTTCCCAGAGAAAAGCTAGAGGAGGAAGAGAGCGCCATGTTGGCGCTCTCCTGACCCAGAAGCACCCTTTCATCCTTGACAGTGCATTCCTCCCCCACCCACCAAGGGAAGCCCCAGATGGGACCGCACAACAAAATAAGCCAGTCTATCCTTTCATTGAAAGGGAGCATGGTCTTCTTTCACAGAGAGTATTTTGTTTGCCCGCCTCTCTTTCTAAATAACATGTTATTCTTATATTTGTATATAAACTTAATACTATGCTATGTACACAGGGGCTTCATAAAGTTCATGGAAAAATAGAATTAAGAGATCAAGGACTTTTTCCACAAATGTCCCTTATATATATTTAATAGATACAGCTTTATATTTATAATATCAAATTTATGTATATTTATGTACAAAATGGACCAATGTGCCTGTGCTGGCATCCACAGCACATTTGAAAAATATTGGGTAATGGGGCCAGCGAGGTCAAAGAACAGCTGACTATTTAAATGTGGACTGGACACAGCAGAGCTGCAGAATTGGGCTTGCTTTATTTTCCAACAATTGTGAGCCGGAATCTCTAACGGAGATTTAAACTGATGAGAACACCAGACAGCAGAGCTGCTTACCTCTGTTTATCAGATTCCTAAAATTCCTTCCCTGCTCTCAAAAAAGGAAAGTAAAATGATAATAATAATGTAATAAAAAGAATGCATTGATAATGAGCACATTGGTACCCAAGAGATCAGCCAGATAATTTGGGAACTATTCATCACCTCCTTTAAAAGAAGCTGCTTAATCACCGAGATTTTTATCAGACTTTTTAGAAGCAGACAGGCCAAGCACCCAAGCCTAGTCTTATCTGAGGATGATGGTGTCCCAAGATGGAAATATTTGCAGCAATTCTAGCCAAGCAGGCTCCCAAATATCCTTTTCCCTAGAACCGGGCATTTGCTCTTTGTATCTGGAAGATCACACATTAGCTTCCCTTTCAAATTTTAATATGGTTCTCCTCACGCAACTGACTCACCTCTTGGCCGTTTTTCAAAGGAAGGTCTTGCCATTTTGCAAGAACATATGTAGGTGGGAACGAGAAGCTGAAAGCTAGGGTGCCAACTGTGCCCACCCACCAGCTGCTCTCTTTCTGCTGTCCCAGCTTCCGCACCCCACCAAGGCAGACCTGCATCTGGGCACACACTGACCGGGGCCACTCTCCAGGGTGACCGCCCAGAATGCAAACGTATCCAGGACCCACACTTGCAATCGTTTTACTCTGAGGAGCCGTCAGAGTGAGCCGTATGTTCCTGCGTGGCTCATCTTGTCTACTGTATTTGAAGGAAGAGCTTTCTGAAAATCCACAAGTGCACTACGCTCTCCAAATAGCTCAATAGCATGAGCTAACGATAAACTCTTAGCTCTCTTTAGAATATTGGTATATTTAAGACTTCAAGGCCACTGCCATTTATGCCAAGTATAAATTACTTAACAATAATGATAAACTGTGGGAGTTTTCCTGGCTTAGATTGCTAACAGCATAGCCCCAAATGATTCTCCTTTTGCATCCCGCAGTATTAATTTTTAATATCCATATGGAAATGATATTCTAATAACTTCTTTCTCTAAAGCTAATACAGGTTAAAGATTGAGCTGAGTGGTGGGGTTTGGGTTTTAGATTTTGATTCAAAGTGAGTTTTAATTATTATTGTATTGATTGGTTGTCATTTTCCTCAGAAACCTTTAGGCCAGATTTTGCTTTGCAGTATGCATTTATCCCATGATGGTTTCTTTTTGATTTACCATGATCAATGTACTTCCTCTGCTTACATATTTATTGAGGGTCCATTGTGTAGACTGAGCAAGGGAGGAGGCAGCCCACTGCCCTCCACTCTGTTTACAGCCACTTGAGTTTTGCTCGTGAAGCATATAAAACTGACCATTGTGATTTTTTTCTCCATTTTACAGAATTCTGAAATCCTCTCTTTAACCAATTCCTTTGGGCTACCCCTTTCAACTCATTGGTGTTATCGCCCAAGCAATCAATCTATTTCTCTACCCAAGAAGTAGTACCTGAAGGGTTTTTCCCTACTCTCATATCATCCCCTGAATTATTTTGTAACTTTCCAGAGCTAGTCTCATTATCCCCACCTCCACCCCAAAATATCTCATTACCACCCCCACCCCACTCCCCCAAAAAGGATGGGAGGCTTCATCTGGCAGAAAAAAGGAGGCATGCAAGCCCTCCTCTGATCATCCAGGACTTTGGTAGCAGCTCCTCGCCAAAACTGGCCTGCAGTCCTTTGTAATGTCCTCTTGGCGGCCAGCTTGTGCCGTGCCTCCCTGTTCCATGCCCTCACAACCACTTGAAGTTCCCAAATAGAAAGTTTACCTTCAGTCTTGAGTCAGTTAAAAGCCAGTCGGACGCTTAGTGTGTTTCTAGTAAGAAACAAAATTGCTTTGTGTTCTAAATAAATATGCCTATGGTGGGGATCTCCGAATCCCCAGGCACGGTGAATCATGTAGAATTAAACCCACCTTCGTGGACTTTATGGAATGAAACCCACTGTCTTCTGCAAAGCTGATTTCTGCTCAACTTGCAACATTGAAAGAGCATCGCTATCCTTACTCTTTGGCCACCGGGCTCTCAGAAGATAGCATCTGAAATCTCTCTGGTAGGCCCAGGAAATCGGCCTCTCTCGCCTCGGGCTTCTCCTGCTCTGGGATTGTGCGCACTTGGCTGGTCTTGGTTTTTCACATTTTCTCCAAGCATTTAACCTGCCCTGGTCACCCCAGCACTGGGAGAACTCATTGAGTTGATGCCCAAATGGAAGACAACACTTAATCGGCATTCTCAAAGTCAAGGAAGACCACGTTCACGCTCAATGAGGCCGAAAGTGCAGTTCCGCATCGAGTCCCAGTCTGAGCGCTCACCATGGTCACAATGAGCCAGTCCGCCTCGACTGGATGGCAGTGAGTTGGCCCTGAGGTTTTAGCGTGTGTTTATTTCACACCCATTTTAATATTTGGTCTCTTAAGAAACCAGATTTGGTCTATTTATGAATCCTAAAACCTGAGCTTGGTCACAAGGAGTGGACTCACTTCTAACAAGCTAAGTGCTCCACACGGCGCCATGGTTGCGCCCTGCATGGCGAACGGAGAGGTTGGCCGATTGAGCCCGCCCAGCCACTTCACAAGGACACCTGTGGGGCTGCGCTCCGCCTCCCACAGGGTCACTGAGCCCGAGCGGGCTCACCAGTGCGGCATGACAACATTCACGCCAGCCCCGCTGCTAAGATCTCGAAGGGAGTGGGCTTCTGGGGAACTCCAGGCCGATCCCGCCATTGCCTTGTAATGCTGCGGACGAGTTTTGTCATTACAAAGCCATTGGGAACACGGAACTTCATGAAAGATAAGCTCCTTGGATTTCATTAGAAGAAACATCGGCCCAATTTCTAAAAGTCGTCAGCGTGGCTTGAGAAAACCAAGTCATGCGTCCAACCCGCTCTTGTAAAACGAGGGTCTTTGAAATGACCGAAATAAACGTTAATGCAATACATCATTTGGGAAGAAAACAGCTTTTCAAAATTAGGTCATAATAGCATAATACATTTCCCCCCAGTACCCAAACCGTGTTTTAAAGAAACACGACATTGGCTGGTTAGAGGAACCATTGAATCCAGCAGATGGTCGGACCACACGATTCAAAGCCTGCCTGTCTCCATAGATGGGTGGCATCTTCAAGCCTCTAAAAGATCGGGCCTGTTCCAGTGCCTTGATTTTCTCACTTGGGAAAGACAGTCAGGCGATCCTTCTGCCTGCCTCACAGGAAACATAACCGGAGATGTAACAGTGCGCAGCACTGTGCACAGTGGTTAGTAACCCCACAAAGGCGGCCGGATAGAATCGGGGGCTATGAAGAATGAGCCATTTCCTTATTTCCTTTGGTGATTCCAGTTCAAAGTGTTACGAGAATCGCTTTCAAAGGCAGAATAGCTTTCCTCATTCGAATAAGTCTATTTTTTTCAGCAAAATCCAATCTGACGCTTTTCATATTTTTGACGCTCACAGATGCCCCTCTTCTGGTGAGTAAATAGTGTGGAATGTTCTGGTGGAAATGGCTTCCAAATACATTTGGTTCAGCAGTTGCTCCCCATTCACAGTTTGAGTCGAGTATCTGATGGTGTGGAATTTCATGCATGCTGGTGTGTGATATGTTAATTAGAGAGATGTCATTTGGGGAGGCGAGTGTTGCCAAAGCCACCCTTGGGTCAGGCATAAATACATATAAAATAGATGCCTCTCGCGGAAGAATCTGCAGTCATGGCCTGCTGTTTTCATTTTAGATCATAGCTGAACTTCAGACAACCATTTCCTCTCTGAAAGAGGAGAGCAGCCGGCAGCAGCTTGCTGCGGAGAGGCGGCTCCAGGATGTTATACAAAAGTTTGAAGATGAGAAGAAGCAGCTGATTAGAGATAATGACCGAGCAATCAAGGTAATCTGAAGACTCCAGTCACCAGTGGTACCAGCTGCTTTAATGTAATTAAAAGGAGGGCTGAAATCCCAGCAGTGGGCAGATGAATGCAGGTATCTGGCTTGCTCACACAGCCTGCAGTCATTCCGTTCACTGGCCACTGCCTTTGATGTAGCCAGTGACTCAGGCTGACTTCCCTCTCAAGAGATCACATGCCAACACACACACACACACACACACGCACAGACACACACACAAACACACTCAATTTTGGCAAACCTACTCCATTCACATTGAACAAATATTTGAAAATACCCAGGCTCTCTCTGGAGAGTCGTTTTGAGAGTCCACTCGCTTTGGAATTGTCTCTTGAAATTAGAATGACTGTGTTCTGCTGGCTGTCAGCTCACATTCTCTTCCTTGCCCACACCCTCAAGCAGTGTCTTGGCATACTGAGCAATGACCTGTCCGGGGTTTGGAATGCCAACCCTCTGATGTGCGTTGACAATGGTACAGGATGGATGTGTGGCGCCTGAGAACCTAACTGGTTTCCAGGCAACGTCAGAGACTCACACCTATCACAGCAACACAAAGCTCCCCAGCCTGGTTCTTTAGGTGCTGGGCAGCTAGATCGCCTAGAAGTTTCTTCTTGGCTTCATCACTGCGAATGTTGTTGTTAAATGTCTTCATCGTGCTGTGTTTAATCTGCAAGGATAAGCAACTGGAAACCTTTATAAATAAGGTTTTAAAGGAGAACAAGAACATTTTTGAAAAAAATAATCCCCGGCCAGAGATTCTTTTTCAGTGATTTACTTTGCTGTAACAATACTTAGAGCATGCAGACTAATCATACAAAGCAATGAACAAATTTTTTTTTTTTAAATATGGGTCTTCCCTGGGCCCTGGGTGACGAAACTCCATCTTCTATGGACTGGCTTAGGCAACCTAAGTCACTGGGGGACAGACTCATCATTGTCATGGAAGTCGTCTTGTGTTATATACGCCCACGAAGGCTGGATGACATGTGAATGAAGTATCTTTAGAGATGGAGGAAACAAGAGAGCCAGCCTCCGCACTGTAGATGTGAGGGCTAATTTTGTTTATGAATGACATGTTCCTCATAAATTTGCCTCTCTTATGCTTGTTTGTTTGTTTGTTTGTTTGTTTGCCACTCCCCCGCCCCCTTCCTATATGTATTGGGAGACCAAAAAGGCATTTCTTGTTTCCTGCTCATATTGGGGTAATCTTGTCAGCCTTCCATGGCTTTGTCATCGACACATGCATATGAAATGTCCGCTGATCTGTATGACTCTTCCTGTGCATGAACTGAAGCACACACATAGTAAATTGTTTTTGTTTCCTCAAAAAGTTTATTTTACGGGACTGTCTTTTCCAGTTGACACCCCAATGCCAAGTGGTGATATTTTCCAACTTTTAAATAACAAAGTGAAGCCCAATATAGCTCCGAGGGGGCGGGCTTAAATAGAGTCACGCCATGGTGATGATGTCGTTCTATATTGTTCCCTCTGAGCTGAAAGAAAGGTAAGGGTGTTGTCGGTAGTGGTGGTGGTTGCCCATGGATCTAAAGACTCATGGTAACCC